ATAACTTATCCAAATAATCTACGTATATTGATGAGTAAATGGCTTAAATTATGGCCCTGCAACAAATTCTACTCTAATAGTCAAAGGTGGCTACAAATTAATTTCCGGCAGGCAAATTACGATGAAAAAACGTTTAATCAACGTCGATTCTACGAAACAACGTTCAAATTCAACGTTGATTCAACTTCCAGTGTCTAGTGGGAGGCTATACCTCTACTTAAGCCGCCTCGCATGTATAGGATAAACGAACGCATTTACATTCTCAGGTAAATTATAAGGGAACTATAAGGTTCATTATTATGCATGGCTCTATTGTCAGTGCTCTACTATTGCCTAAGTGCAGAGAGAAAGTCCGTGGTTATTTGTTCTGAAAAAATTGCATTGGAATGAATTGTTGAAAATTTAATACGATTGAAAACTTCCTGGTACATAAACAAATGAAATAAATTTCAGATGGCTTAGTAATCTAATATAGAGTTTACCGTTCGTGCAAGCGCAACAATTTATTAAACGCAAGTCTCTGGAGGTAAATGCATGAAATATATACGTAGCCTTAACAATATATAGGGCTGACACTATCTAAGAAATAGTTTTAATATATTATTACTTTAGTTTGTTATTAGTTAAGTCGTTGGTGAGAGCTGTTTTTAAGAATAAATGCCCGAGCCATCCAAGCAAATTTGAGTGAACAATTCATGTTTATACTGTCAATCCAGTTTAACCTTCAGTGCAGTGCTCAATCACTAAGAACTCTGAATGCCGTTTAGACGTCAGCTCTCGATCACTGAGCACTCTGGATGCCGTTTATACGTAACCGCTCGATTGCTGAGAACTCTGAATGCCGTTTGGATGTCAGCTCTCGATCACTGAGCACTCTAAATGCCGTTTAGACGTCAGCTCTCGATCACGTTTAGGCATCAGCGCTCGATCACTTAGCACTCTGAATGCCGTTTAGACGTCAGCGCTCGATCACTGAGCACTTACAGTTCCGATTTTTCCAGCACAGGATGATCGGAATATTTGCAGTAAGAGCCAGAGATTAAATTCGAACCTCAATTTCCTAGCTAATTTTTATCCTCTGCCTCCATCGGGAGAGCGCAGTTCTCGGAATAAGTGGTCAATTTGCATATGAAAATATCTGAATATTGGCATTCGCATTTGATCGAGAAAGATGCTTCAAAGTGTTTCGTATAGAATTCCATAACTTATCGTTGAAACATAGTCGTGAAGTTATAGATTCAAAGCTTCAGTGGTGAATTGTTTAATCAAATCGACTGTTATACAAGCTAGTAAGTTAAAATAATGCATAATTGGTTTCAACTCCTGATATAGAAAATGGGTGTTTTTTGCAATTACCACTTACCATTTTGCATTTGTTGTAATCATTTGACATTTTCTGGTACGTCGCGCGTATTAATTCTATCCCTTAAAAATATCTATTTAGACGTGTATGATAGTTCGATCCGCTGAAAATAGATCGTCTACTAAGCTCTTGCCTAACTAAGCTCTTTAATTCTGTTTATTGAAATATATCGTATAGTAGCTTAAGGATTTCGTCTAACTTTGTGTCCGAATGCAAAACCACGCTTCTAGCTGCTGTTTTTTTATATATCATTGCTGCGCCATTAAATTCAATTTATGCGCCTTTAAATATTATATTTGCGCCATTAGACTCCATTCCAGCACCATTGAATATTATATTTACGCCATTATATTCCATTGCTGCGCCATTAAATATTATTACTGCGCCATTATATTCCACTGCTAAGCCATTCTATATCATTGCTGCGCCATTAAATTCTATTGCAGTGCACATACCATTACGGCGCCATTAGATCATTAAATACCACAATTGCGCCATAGGGCGCTATTAATGTGCCATTACAATTCCTCCTCTTGCGTACGAAAGATGCTCTCTTACTGGAGCTGAAATAAATTAGGAAGGAATAAAGCAAATTATCAGGAACCTCCAAGCAATAAGTATAAGGTACCTCCAAGCAATAAGTATAAGGTAACTCCAAGCTAATTATTATGAAACCTCGACTAAACTATCATGAACTTAAAAGTATATGACCATAAACTTGCCACTAAATTATTATGAAATTCCGAGTAAGTTATCATGAACCTACAAGCCAGTTATCATGAGCCCCACTAGTTGTAACGAAAATGACGATCAAGGGAGCCCATAATTAAACTACATATATGCCTTTGAACAACCTTCACACATGTGAATGTGGCATTAATGAAAATGCAAAAAATCCATTACCAAATATCTACTAATGTAATTGAGTAACACAAATTATAATTACCGTAATCCTATCTCCAGCACCACAAGTTTAATCATTCACATTTAGATATGAGTGTTAGAAACTCAGTGCCAATTGTTGCTTATGCCATAAGCAGACATAATTCCGGGTCTGCAGCGGCTTAAAGTAGACCCTTTCTTTGCTGTGTTTAACCGTCGCGTAAACTGGGGGAGAGTCTGTAAACAAAATAAATTTAATGCTGAAAGATTGCTCCCCAGATGCAAGTTGCGAAGGTGGACAAGATTTGTGGGTATTAGCGCATTTTCTCGTTTACGGAAAAAAGGCGCTATTGTGCTCGTCATGTCCGTCCGTCCGTCTGTCTGTCCGTGACTTCACGCTTTCGTCGACGAGAAAATGCGCTCTCTGTCACTCACTGCAGTGAGTACTGAGTTATATTTTGTTTACTTGTTTCTATGGATTAATTTTGATACAATAGAGAACTTTTGGGGGCCTGATTGAGAACATTCCATTTAAAAATTCAAACATCAGTTGAAAAACATGACATGGAAATAATTTAAAGAAAAAGTACAGCAATTGTAAATAATTAAGCACTTACATTTATAGCATAGTTCAACTTAACTTCACGCTAGCGCGACGCGACGATAGGTCCAATCTAAAAATGTCAACAATTCAAACATTCCTGGAACGGTACATATGCATTATAAAATTATAAATAACGCATATCAATATTATTCCTAGTTTCTTTATTTGACTTCTTATATTTAATTACATTTCATAATATAACGTATTTTTTTACCAAACAAAAAATAGTGGCAATTCTCGGAGATAATTACTTCAAAACATTAATAAAATAATATGAACAAACACAAACCCAAAATTTATATATCCCGAAATTTCGTCACACGTTGCAAGAACGATCAGGAAACACAAACACTTGGCGGCACTCGTGATGTCAAAAATATTCATAAAAATTGAGATATTTCCTATAGTTCTTCAACTATTAAGTTTTAAAGCATAAATATTCAACTATTGCTGCAAAATTATTTTTACGAAGTTTCGGTTATTCTATATTACAGCAAGGCCTTAAATATGTCGTATGTGAACTGAAGCTTCGGGTGGAAACGCTTCAGTTGAAATATAATTTAATTATATATTATAATTCTTCAACATTTTGTATGACAACAGCTGATTTTTGTTATGCATGAACAAGAAAATAAAGCATTATTCATTTACTACTTATTTTTACTGGCTTCAAATTTAAGATAGTAAAGTAGAAGCAGTTTTTAAAGGGGCCACGTCAATGTGTGAAATTCGTCAAACGTTCAATCTCAAAACTGTAGTATGAACACTTCATTTTTTGCCTCAACAAAATTCATATGTTCATAAATTTAATCATTTACTACTATGGATATAGAAATTATAGATTAAAGTATCACTTTTTCCGCGTAATAATAATTCCTCAATCGATTTATTTAACTTTACTGACAGGTTTTGGTCACGGCGTTATTCCATTGGCACGTCTTTGGTAGAAAATCCCTCTCCGCCTACAGTATAATCGCGCGATGAAGCCGTAATCTTCATAGGTTATATGTTCTATTGCAAATGGTTATTATTTCTGAATTTATTTTGGTCCGCCGTGTTTTATTTTAGTCTGCATAATATTTCATTCGGCCATACGTGCTCAATGAGACTTCATGTATTCATTTATTATGAATTTGTATGAATCTTATATTCAACTCCTTGATTTGCTGTCAATAAAAATTTACAGTAAATAGGCCAGATTCCGATATTTTTCAGATCACGTTTTGGTAGGAGACATTTCTCAAAATCACCAATAAAGACAAACGGAAATTCGGCGACCTACTTTTGTTTAACCTGCGAATGTAAACCCGCGACCGAAAATAATTTCTCATGTGATACCGTGGCATGATCCGTTTTAACTTTTTTTATGCAACGAAATGACACAAAATATAGATACATTTAAAAGAAGATCGTAAATAATAATGAGAACAATCGGTATCTTTATTTTACAAATAACTTCAACCACCAAGTAAGTTTACCAATGCAATTAAAACTTCTTGCCCGATTGCGATTACCATTTGTATTTGTTGACGGTTTTTTTCCGAAATGCAGGCTGGCGCGGAAGAAGCTCGATGTTTGAAGGAGAGCAACGAACAAACGAAGTCGCTTGAAAATTGGAGAGCAGCTCGACGATGCCGAGCGCAACTAAAGCATCTTTGCAGTTTGTTTTTTGTTCGAATTTCTGTTTGGTTAATCATTTTAATTAAATTTACTAGTAATGATAGGACCGTATGACCGCGATTTGTGATTTGAACTGGAGTCGCATTGGATCATTGTATACGATCCAAAACAAGTACAAATTTTTTATGCATCAAGCATATAATAAATAAGAGATACATTTCTAACCATTTCACGAATTCTCCAACATTTCCAGGCTCGTTCCATTTTTGGAGGTTGAGTTCGCTAAGGCGACGCTGAGGACCCTAATCTCGAAGCAAAGCTCCCACAGGCTGCTTCGTTCTCTCGGCTTTAACAAATAGTTTCGATCATTGCCAGTTTTAGTCAATTCTCGTTCAATAAAATATATTTAGTCGTAACAAAAATACAATTCGAACAAAACATTTAAATTTAAAACAGTTGACTCAATGAAAAAATATCTCACTTTGAATAACCCAAAGGATTCCCAAATCCAACAAAAAACACACTCTGACTTGAACCACGTATTTCACTTTTTGCAAATCGATTGCAAATCGAACGGTTGTAGTATTTGCCCATTCTTTACCGATCTCGCTGTGACCCATGTTTTACCTCCATCACCTCAAAATTAATAAGTACGATACAATTCCAGCTTAGACTCTAGTCCAGACGAATTCGTTGTAGTGGTTCCAGCGTTCCTCTTCATTGTCCACTCCAGGTTTCTTTTCAGACGGTGCACCGGATGTTCCTGTTCCACAAGAGCCACAGCAGCGGTAACCCGCCTGAATCAGCATGTCGAAAGCTTGTTCCAAAAACATATGCTTCAGAAAAAATCGTGCAGAATATCGATCGACTTGACCCCTGTCTGGATCCCGGGATTCATTCAGAGTGTCTCCGAATACCTCGCGACACAAACTCACACGTCCACACACCAGAATACGCGTGAGCTTGCGAAACTTGACATCAGCAAGTCCCTCCCTGCCGAATGCGAAAGAACCTCTGTAGCCGACCACAATGCAGCCGGAACGTTCGTCTGAACCCACGGATGGATCCAAGGGCACGACCACTTTTCGGGCGTCGAGGGCATCGAGCATGTCAATGATTTCAAAGAACACGGCCTCGTTTCTCAACCTCTCCTTCTCACTAAAATTTTCAGGCAAGACCAGCTTTTGGTTTCTCAGAAAGTCCAGAATGTAACGAAAAAGTACACCATCCCGGTCGATAAAAAACTTGCCTTTGGAGTCACGCAAAACTAAATTTTTTGATTTCCCCGTGAACATTTTGCCGAGAAGGCAATCAGGATTTCGAGTGAGGGTAGAAAGTGAAGTTGTGTAGAAAACTCCGCCGACATTCAGCTCTACAATCGAGGGGAACATTTGCGTTATCAGATTGTTCGAGCCTCCGCCCTCATCAGATCGGTTGTCACCACCAGGTGCAGCAGAAGGGCCACCATTGGTAGCCATGGTCGGAGCGTCGCACCAGTTCACCTCACAACGCCCCACTCAACACTGAGCTGCCCATAGCATTGCTGCCTGGGCCAACAGCATTACCCTCGCTAGTCGATAGGAGCTCTCGCTGATCGAGGGCGAGAGGCTGAGATGCAACCTTCAGTTCACGCTTCACTTACGAGCCCTCAGCTCTCCCATCAATATTGGATTTGAAGATCTCTTTGTGAGTGGTATTGCTAGGTGACAGGTTGTTTGTCCAAATCACCGACTGCCACTTTTGTTTTGACAATAGTTTCGGGTCAGCCTCAGTGTATCATGTTTGTTGTTAACTTGTTTATAAGGTGTCATCTCCCTAGTCTGTCGCATGGTATTTTCAGTTCGAGAAACAAGTTCAATTACTTAAAATTTATGCACAGGTAGAAGCCTAAAGAGCCCTCGATTTATTAATTTACACGACTTTCCTGTTAATACTTTTTTCTGCTCTGAAGTTATTTTCAGACTAATTAGAATTTTTGTTGTAATTAATAACCTGGTACATAACCTTCGTGTAATCACTAAAGGCTCTCCTTCTCATTATCTCATCTCAGGTAAGCTCACTTTGACAGTTCATGTCAGTTATTTTAATCCTAATGTTAATAAATTTCATTTACGCAACTTCCGAAGTAAGAAAGTTAAGTCATTTCCCGTCACTTTAATCAGTATACGGAAACTCGTTCCACCGATATTTCATTGTTCGTTTATTAAGGACATTTTCAGCTCGGCTTTATTGAGAATTTCAGTCCCTTATCCAGAACAATTTTATGCCTGACATTCTGGTAACTATATGAATAATATAAAATATAATCATACTTTTGCTCGTGATTTAAATTTCAATATAACGAACACATTATGCGCATTTGTGCATTCCTCCAGTCTCGACAGCATTGCTTGACCTCGGCGTTGTGTCTGGCTCAAAAATTATTTTGTCGGTGTTTCGGTGGCTTGAGTCAAGAAATACCATGATATGTTGTTTCATAAATAATGAGACTCATCCGTTAATCAAGCCCTCCTAGCAGCTTTATGATGCGCGTCTCATTAAGATGCAGATAAGCTCTTCCCTGACGACCCCCTAGAGGATTTCTTATCGCACGGTACACGCCAGCTATGCATCACGGCATCGTTCAGGATGCTAGGGCGTTTACAATACATTTCATACTTCCGCCTCGCCTGTTACCTGCTTTTCCTGATCAAATAAACGGCAATTCTACCCTGTTTGTAGCAATTCGTGACTGAAATCAATGACGGTCTAGCATAGGCTTGGTCAGAAATTCAAATGGAGCAATTTAAAATTAGCAGAATTTGTTCATTTATTGAATATATCTTAAAGAAAATTTTGCTTTTCTTTGTCCGTTTGTTTCATGTCTTCCTTGGTATCGTAGATTTAAACTAAGATAAGATAACTTGCACTAAGGTAACTGGCATTTCTGCCGAGGCATGGCAGTCGGTTAAATTCAGAAATTAAAGGAAACTACTTGTTTATTAACGAGCAAATTTATTCCAAGTTCTAATAGATTTCATGTGGAGATTAAAACGGAGGTTCATTGTTTGGACAAGGTTTCCCAAAACTTAATTTAATGTAAAACTAATTTGCGTCACTACCGCTGTTTGATGTATTTTCTCAGGGTACAGTGTGTAACGAAGCGGGTTTCTTCCTCGGGTTCGTTTCTTACTCGTGTGTGATACCTTCCTTGAAACGCTCCTATCAACCATCAAAAGTTTATTTAAACAAGACTAAATGAAATAGTTAATATATTAATATAATACAATGGAACGTAATAAATGGAACACTAAATATATAAACTTTGCATAATAGATGTCCAACACAAGTAATTTTAACGGATTGATCGTCTCAACTAGAGATCAGGATTCCTCCTTGCTCCGAGAGCACTCTAGACGAGTTCTTCAAACTCGACCTTCAATCTGGTCTACTGCCCGCTCTCCAGCTTCGCAACCCAATAAAGGCACTACTTGTCAGCTATGCCCAAGTCACTAAGGTAAACTTCAGCAAGTTGACAATGCCGTTACATGGTTTGCTAACTGTATGACTATTGGCTTACCATTGACAAATCGCGGTCGGTTCCTACTGTTGCTACCTCCCATTCAGTGCCTTCTAAAACTTAATTTATACCCTGACACAGTACAAGATTTTTACTCCACTGAATTCTTAACATTTATCTAAAATTTCTCCATCAGAGCGAGTAATCTGAACCATAATTAACCATGAGTAATTAGAAAAATATTAAATACAATGAAATTCCAGCATCAATTTCATTGAGGTGAATACAATTTTTCCAATAGAAAATTATCGTTATGTACAAATTTTTTTATAATGCCACACACCGAATAATGGGCCTATTTTTATTCCGAATAAAGGGCCTATTTCACCGAAGTTTTGTACATAAAATCCTCAGAATAAAAACATTGACGTAGCTTCTTGATCAACGTTATTCACGCAGGAGCACAATCCAATTTATTATCAAACGCTCCATGAATAGCGTTCGAGGTCTTCCATTATATTGAGTTATTCCAGCCACTGAGCAGCCGGCCCTGAATGCGACAAATCGGCTGCCATACCGGCAGCCTCACCGACACACACCATGCATAGACTGTGGCCTAACCTCGCTCAGTGCGCGTGAAGTTTTAGTAATGACTATTGAGTTATATTTTCGATTATTGCATTAAGTAATGGTGATTAAAGATGGCATGCTTAAAATAATTGTGACTATACTAGATTTATTCAGCGGTCTTTGATTTGTGATATCTTGATTATTGAATCAAGATTTAACGAGCCTGATTTTATCCAGTAAAGCTAGATTCAACTAATGACGATAGACTTAATTAGTGAAACTGGAAATCAATAATGAAACTTGATTTGTTTTGAAGATTGACTTTTTAATAAAGCTAGACTTGGTCCACGAAGCAAATAAAGTAGTTTTGACATGCCTCAGAGAAATCAATTTGAACTATACCTGTAAACAATTTTATAATAATTTTCAAGATAATATATACTATAATAATTTATAATAATGACATGGACAGAGAGGCTCCTGTTGTAAGTAGCTAATTTCAATAAACGGGTTTTCCAAATAATGTTATATAAAACATCACCTCCTGATTTTTATAGCACTTCTCTTTAACTTCACTTCTTGTTGATTTTTTGTTTGTTTGTCTGCTATACAAATCTTATAATCGACATTTAACACACTTCTGCCTGTACAATCGGTCTGAAATTTTGCACACTTGCGTAATGTCAAAGACAATGCATGAATCAATTGACAAAATAAATAATTTTACCAATTTAATTTTTTATTAATTATTAGAAAAATTTAAAAAAATTATATATATAAAAATAAAATAAGAAATTCATTAAACATGAATAACATCGGGGACAGTGGCCTCTTTAGAAGTTTTGTCCTTAAAAAGTTATATATAAACGCATATTATTATGATTTACATGCAGTTTTTCTGAATCCCAGCGCATCGTTTGGTCACTAGCTGGAAAATACAATACTTGAGGTAATAATCCTTAACATTTATTTATTTGTATGCGTAACTTCGAGACTAACCTCATGCGAACCTAACCCTACAAGTCTGCCACTAAACTCCCCCTAGAAATTAAAAGTTATTTATGCAAATATTGTCAGAAGCTCTCAAATGTTATTCGAGTAGATGGCGCCCAAAGCACGTAGCAAAAAATACGACGAGTTAGAGCGGCGTTCTCGCACAATTTCCTGACTGCAAAGTAGAGGAAAATGCAGGGCAGACTCACCGAAATACGCGCTGTAGTCATGCTACGACAAGACGCTCGATCTCTAGCAGATTATTTAGCCTACTGGGAAATAACGAGGAAAGCAACAGACCGAAAAATCTCGTTCTTGGACAAATAAAGATTTGTTTTCTCTTGTGTGAGTTCCATCTCTTTTCCTGCTACATCCATAAAACTTATATTTTTTCTTGTACGTGGTTGAGATGACGCTGGACTGACCACAGGATATAAGCGAAAGTCCATCACGTGATTTTCAAATCATATATAATATTATTTTTATAAGTACACTCCCAATGCCTGCATAAAAGTCGCTCATTTAATTAAATATGAATGTCAAATGAACGCATAATTCACTCACTCGTATTACAAAAAAATACATACCGGCTAAGAAATACAAAATATTTCCTTTTATAAGAAATTATTTTCCTGAAATTGCTTTCTTTTCATTCAGATAATTACATTTCGACGCTTTGAGAGATATTATTTAATGCGATTAGTTGTTGCCAATGAAGCACACATTATTAATCAATAAGTCCGCAAACTTGCAAGTCATCGTCGCGTAAAACGAAAAAAAAAAACACTAACTGATTGAATAATGTTCTATAATATTAAATTAAGACGTTAGAAAATTATTTTGTTCCATTTTATATATTGGTTTGATACTGTCATATTAAATTCAATCGTGGTTCTGAGAAAATTTAAGACGAGAGTGAAAAATTTTGAAGCGATAAAATCATAAAAATATGTAAAGATAATCATTCTATAAGCTTCAATAAAGAAAAAACTTGAGCCTCTTCCACGTCCACTTTATTTCTCTAGAATAAACTTACTCGTCCACGAGAGCTTCAAGCATTCACGTGGCAACTCAAACCTTCTATCAATTTAAAATTCAAACAAAAAGTTTATAATAAAATTTTCAAAATATTTCTGCAAAATATGAGCATCTAATGCATTTAATATGCGAGAGAGAAGATGGCACGAGTTTCCTTCATTTTTATACTGTGATCATATATTAAATATTATAATGCAAAATCTGAAAATCACGCAATATTTTCAATAAATATTCTATCTAATTTGGAAAATACAACTAAGTGATAATTAATTCCACCATTTTCATCGATTTTCACGGCATTACGTCATTTCTCGAGCAAAAAATTTGCTCAGGCGGTGATCACATTAATTTATAAAACGAAAAAACTGGGACTTAATTTTTTTCTGG